TATATATATATTAAAATGTATTAATTTTCATATCAATCTAAATTATTAAATTAAAATACACAAAGAAACAAAACTAGTATAATGTTTAGTGTTATTAATAAATTTTTTTATCAATATTTGAATAAGCAATTTTTTCGTTACGTATCATTTCTTGTATTGATTAATTATAATATAGTATTTAATAATAAAAAAAGAATAAAGTATTTTCTTCATTTTATAGCATTTAAAGGTGAAATAAATACAAAAAAAAAGAGTTGAATGCGTGTGTAAATTCTCACAACCTTTTTTCGCAAGAGCAAATAAAGTAAATATAAGTTCACAAGCAGTTTGTTTAAGAAAATGTAAACAATAAGGAAATTTAAAACACTTTATTTTTTATACTAATTAATTCAATTGGAGTTATGTCCAATTACTTTCCAATAAGAAGAGTTCCACTAACTAACCATATTAAAAAAAAGTATTTTTAATTTTCACTTCTAACTACAAGTATTTTCAGCACCACTTATGGCTAAACACCATAAACTATGCTTAGTTTACAAAAGCATTTTCTGGACTCAGCCTCTTTAGGCTTAGCTTGAGAAAAGGTAAAGTATTTATAAAGTTATCTCTCATAGAGAAGATATATATGTAAGTTTTAAGTATATATAGTATATGTTAGATCAAAGGATGAATTAAAACCCTCAAAATTTATGTTTTAATGTTAATAAACATACTTAATTTTGTGAAGCATAAAAGACTAATGTATACGATGATTGCTTAATAACACATAAAATCATATCGGATTAAGTCTTATGAACCTCCATATATATTGTTGTAAATTTTGAGATATTTCAAAAGGTAAATTTATTTACAAAATTATTTTAAATTTAAATTTAGATTCAAAATAGTTATTTTATTAATAATAGGTTTTAAAACCTAATTAATATCAATTTTAATGAAATATTATAATTTGTCCATTTGAATTTTAATTAATTTTAAATGATCAAATATTTTAAAATTAATTAGATTTAATTTTGGTATTAATTATAACCACAACATTCAATATCTCTATACATAAATATTGAGAAGTAGAGTTAGAAGGACTAATCATTACTTTTTTTTCTCTGTTCTCTCTTTTTCTAGGTTAAGAACTTGATAGTTTTGTATTCTCAGTCTAATACTGGAAAGATCGTGTTATATCCTGAGAACTTACGTGAAAGTTAACAAATAAGTCTTTTAGGATAATACATTGCACGTTTTAGGAATTTATATCAGTTTATGCTCTCAAAGCATTCATGAACAACAATTTAAAGGACTTAATATTGTCTATGAAAATATTTGGTAAAATTCACTATCAAGTAAGTGTCCTTTTGATTTGATATATTATATTGATTGAATAAAGGAATGATTTGCTTTAGATGAATGTGAAGAAGCTATGCAATACATACTACAATTTGTGTTAAATATTTTATAGATAATTATTAAGGAATAATAGTTTCGTGTGTATGGTATGTAAATATTACTTTTATATTGAATTATTATATTTAATTGTGATATGTTAATTGTTAATTAAATTACTTTGGATTGTAATGGCTAATTAAATGTTTGGTGTATGTTACATGATTCATAATCATGATTAGCACATTACGTCGAGAGACTTTATATATTTAATTATTTAATTGTTTGTTTTAAAACATTGAGAATAATTATATAGAGACAGAGAGGAGGGATCCGTTTACCCCAACTCTGTTCAATAACTCATGTTTTACATCAAATTTTAACGATCTAATAGTTGAATTTAAAGTTCTTAATGTATAGATTAAGTCTACAAATTTTTAAAAAATTTGAAAATCATTTGATACTTCGTTTCATTAATTCAAATTGACAGATAATCATAAAATCATTTTATACATTGATTTGAATTAATGAAACAAAGTATCAAATGATTTTTAAATTTTTTAAAAATTTGCAGACTTGATCTTTGCATTAAGAACTTTAAACTCAATGGTTGAATCGTTAAAATTTGATGTAAAACATGAGTTATTGAACGGAGTAAGTCTAGGTAGACTTACTCTTGGAGTAAACAGATCACTTCTCATATATATGTGTGTGTGTGTGAGTGGAGATAAGAGCAATGTGAGGTGAAAGATTCTGTGAAAGACATTTTTTTCCTACACGTGGAGGAGGCTTTGTTCACAAATAAGCATGAATTATTTGAATGGGAGGTGTTTGTTCATAGAAATTTAATTTAGGTACATTATTTCTTTCAATTTTCATGTTGTGTATATTATTAGAAGATGACTTTCAGAGATCTATAGTAAAAAGATTTTTATATTTATGTTTTGTGATGAACCCTTTTAGAAGAATTAAAAATTTGATATATGTGTAAATGTCAAAGTTAATCTATGAGAATTTATGGGGTGTGGTGAAGAGGTGGAGAAAATAATTGTGAGACATTTAAAAATGGTGTAGGTAATTAATATTTTTTTAAAAAAATATCTCCATAATGAGAAGAACGTAACTTAAATTTCTTATTATGAGACAATACTTTTATCACCTATTTGAGATATGAGTTCTCTTAGTTACCTTTTCAAAGCATTTGTCATTTATGGCACGAGATGTTAAGAACTACATAAACTGTTAAAAAAATTTCAGTTAACTTTATTTGACTATAGTTTCAATATGAAGTTCTCCATATTACAAAATTTTACATAATATAAGATGTTGGATAAGTACCATAAAATTATGATATTTAATATTGTTGATTTTTTCATTGCGTTAAAAAATACAATGATGAGTAATTGAGTCTTGGATTCATATGAGACAAAATTCACTAACGTTGTGTCATTACACTTTGTTGTAGTGAAATTAATTTGAGATCAACCAAATATAATTATTGAATTAGAATTTGTTGCTCTATAAATGGTTGATCATGAGGGTTAGTGGTTGAGAATCTCCTAGCTAAATATTTCATTGAGAATATAAAATTAAGACATGATGTGATATAACAATTACTTAAAAAGATTGGAGATTATCATGTGTAGTCAATGATGAATTAAACCCCTAGAAAAGATATTATTTATGAAACATTAAGAGTTATTTATAAATATCGAGAGAATTTTATTAAAGTCACTTGAAACGGTAATCTAACCTTTGCGATTCGAGATCTCATGAAGGAGGTTCAATGAAAAGAACAAGTCACTTGTTAGTTTTGTTAGCACTAAAATTGATTTTGATTAATTTAAATTTTTCATCTCTTCATATCATGTGAGAAAGTGCTAAAGCTTTATTAATGAGAGGATAATCTTTATAGATAAGTTTTATGTGATTATGAGAAAGCTTGACCATTTATAAAGATTTTAATGATTTTCATATTCTTTATAGGTGGTGTATGAATTTTAGTATACACTTGATGAAATCACCTATATGAGTATCAAGTGGAGCCACTTGCATAAGATCTTCACGAGATCTCTATAACACTTATGAATACTAGACGCGCACATGGGCACGTTATGAAAGCACAATACAATGATAACAACAAGAATTGTGAGAGTGTATTGTGATTGGTTAACCTTTGATACACGTTAAGTGTTTTGGATTCAATAGCTTGTTACACTCATTGTACTATGCGTTAAATTTTATCAATCTACATCTGGTTCAATAGTTTGTTACATCAAGTCCGATGTCTTACATTCTATATGAGAACCCAAAATTTCTTTTGAAATATGTGGGGGATTGTTGTAAATTTTGAGATATTTTAAAAGGTTAATTTATTCACGAAATTATTTTAAATTTAAATTTAAAATAGTTATTTTATTACTTATAGGTTTTAAAGTCTAATTAATTTTTGATTGTTGTAGTTTTAATTAATTTTAAATGATCAAACATTTTAAAATTAATTGGTTTTAATTCTTGTAATTAATTATAACCACAACGATTAGTATCCCCTTTTATAAATACTGAGAAATAGTAGAGTGAACTCTTTTTTATTCTCTCTTTTTCTAGGTTAAGAACTTGCTAGTTCTACATCCTCAATCTAGTACTAAGAGGACCTTATTGTTTTTTGTTCTCTAGGACAGTGCACTACACGCCTCAGTGTTGGGGGCTTTTGAGCTCCTTTCTTATGTGAAGAATAGGCTCAAATTGTATAAGTACATTATATGTCACTTAATCAAGTGGAGAGGGGTCAAATTAGGCTAGAGAGAGTGACTCAATTTAATAAACAACAACAAAATATAGAGAGAAAAGAAGAGAGAAAGTTATAGGTCGCATATCCATGGGGCAATGTTTGTTGAATTGCAACTGGAGATTTGTTTACCGTTGGATCAAGCTAGTTTATGGACAGTAGGTTCATATGATGTGACATTTCATATTCAACGATTAGATCGTCAAAAGAAAGTCTAGAGTGGGAGAAAAATGTCTTGCAATAACAACTCTATTTTGGAGCTTTTCATCTTCTTATTTCTCAATTGTAAGCAATTATGCTCGATTTTGCTTTAGCTGATTTTGCTTTAGCTGATTGTAAGTACTGTTTTCAACATTAAAGATATTTGTGCCTCTTGTGTATTTAGGTTATCTTTTTTGCTTTATTTTGTTGGTGTTTCTCGTAGATTCTTTCAAGTAAAGGAATTTAATTTTCATTGCATTATTGCTCTTTGTTATAATTGTTATTATTGTGTCAGGCTTTCCCCCATCACTCAAAAGTTCTAATTTGTTCGTGTTCTCAAAGCATTCATTGGACAACACATATATTGAATTAAACGTATTATCTGTCACAGGCAAATGTATTTATTACAATATTTAGTATGTTTCATGTTCCTATCATTTGTTTTTAGTGTATAATTTAACAAATTGAAGGAATAAAAACTTATTAGGTATTCAAAATGACTTTAAAAGGATGAGATTTACTTTTCGTTAGAGAAAGTATAAAATACAACCCTCACTATACCTAAAGTCAACAAAAAGATTTTTTTGGAACTAATACACTACAATTCCCTACCTTTTGTGCCCTAAAGTTGATGAGCAACATCTTAATAAGATAAAAAAATGACTATTTAGTGAAGCACATTAAATACACCAATGAACATATCTTCATAACAAAAGAAAGCAAGATGAAGGAAAAAAGAGCAAGTCTACAAGAAACATTCAAGGAATTTGTAACAATCACCTTTTAATACTATAAGAAAGTTGCATGTTTAGGATAATAATTTAAATTTGCGAACAACTTAAAATTTTCTTCTTCTTGAGAATAAGTTATTTTGATAAATCTAAAAATTCAAAACTTATGATTATTTTTCAATAACTTCTTTTATTTCTCTTAAATTTGATTTATTACATAAAAGATGATTTTTTATTACATATAAACGAAATTAAATATTTTTTTAATCAAATTTATCCAAACAAAAATTCATTTCAATTACGATAATAATTATTTACATATAATTTGTTATTAAAATAGTTTTATTTACAGAATTTTCTCAAACACATTTAAGCAGGTAAACAAAATTAGAATCTCTTTGAATAGAAGAAAATAATAAATTAGTTAAATAAAAATAATAACAAATAAGAAGCTAAATTATTTAAGTTATTCTCCCAATAAAGTATTTAATTCTCCCACATAATTTTAAAAAATAGTATTACCCTTTTGTCCAAATTGATATTAATAACAAAAGAAATCCTTCAAACATTTTCAAAAGAATTGAATAATCAAATCAAATTTTCAAAAAGAAGTATAAAAACAATCAAAACAAATCATTTAAATAAAAAAAAAAAAAATTTAACAATTTATCCGTATCTAATATGAATCTGTTTTACATATAAATTCCATAATCTATAATTTTTTTTCTTTTAAAAAAATAATTAATTTACATGCAGATGACAAAAAGGAAACGCAACTTGGCCAATAAAAAAACAACAAAAATACAATGCAACAAAACTGTTGTTTTCTCACTGTAGCCCTCTACACAATCTCAAAACCCACACCTTTTCTCTTCCTTCTCCCTCTCTTCTTCTTTCGCCCCATTTCACTTCCACCATTTTTCACAACAGTTTCTCGTGAGTTTCCATTCAACACTCATTTTCTATTTCTCATTATTAATTTCTGCATTCTTTTCCCTCTTCAAAATCCCACCACACTAAACTAAACAATATAGAGAGATAGCATTCCTCGTTTTGTATCAATTGAATTTATACTATTTTTGTCTAGATTTCAAATTTCAAATTTCAACTAATGATTTTTCTTACACAATCTTTTCAACAACGTTAACCCACTTCTTCCAAAACAAAACTATTTGTGTTGGAACCATGATGTTTATTTGTTTTGCAGGGTCATGAGTTTGAGATGCGTGATTTTGGTCCTAGTGCTTCTGCCATACATGGCTTCTGGGGGTTCCATTGTGAAGAACCTCCCTGGTTACGAGGGTCACCTTCCATTCAACCTTGAAACTGGGTCAGTTCTTTTCTTTTTCCTTCAAATGATTAATCACATTTTGCTATTATATTTCTTTTTAGTGATAATTATCCGATGTATAGTAAAATTTTTTATACTCATATCTTTTAAATAAATAAATAATATAATTTTATTAAAAAATATAATTAATTATAATATAAAAAACTTTTATACTAAACGGTATATAAGTGATTAATTATTTTTTTTTATCTCATTCGTGCAATCATATTTGCTTAAAATTAATATTGGGTTCATATAATATTCCAATAAAATGGAGTCTTCTAAAACTACGGTCAATATTATATTGAGACGTGCGTCACAGCTGACCAAACACGTGAAAATTGAAACGTGTGGTTGTTTAAGACATTATGGTTACCTCTGTGTCAATTATTTTCTATTTATTTGTCGGTTGTTAGTTGTCACCATTATAGGATATTCTTTATACCTCGCTGACTCGTGCAAGACTAAACATGTTTAAATTATTGATGATAAGTATTTTATATACAAAAGGGGTAATTTGTATTTTTATATTTTATTTAATAAATTTATTTTAAAATTATTAATGTTTGTTGATCTATTGTATTTAATATTGTGATATTTTCTTCATGACTTGGGATGCCATTGCTACTTAGTACTACAGCTTAATTAATTTTGTGATGTATGGTATTGAACTACGCAAGTGTTTGGAAATTTTTATTTTATTTTATTTTTGACTATAGTGTTTAATCAGTGTTATATGTTAAACATGCTTACACTTTTAATCTTTTTAGTTTAATGTTTGATTTTTATTTTTTAGTTTTGGTACTTGATTTTAGTTCCTCCCCTCTAAATTTGTCAAATATAGTTCCACTATTAACATTCCAATAATTATTAATGGTTGAAGCTACATAGTTCTCTTTTTATTTTTAAATTAAAACTAGAAATGGAAAATTTTTGTACAGGTTTCTTATTTCTGTGTAGTTATCAAAATTGGACCCAAAATGAATGAGTGGGCCCAAAAGTGCAAAACCAATTGATGTCATTTTTTATTTGACCAAAATTTTTGTTTATTAAATCATTAATTAATCATGGGAATGACATTTAAATAGGTGAATCACTCTTTGACCATAGGCCTATGGCCCATGTCTTAAGCATTCATTTACATTTTTTATATTCTGCTAGGATTTTAATCTCTACAATATATAGAGTGTTTATTATATATAATATAATTATAATTATAATAAATTATATATAAAAATATCATATTTAAAATAAGTATACATAAATATTTTTAAACATATAAATTAGTTTTTATATTTAGGATAAATAATTTGTATTATAAAAAAATATTTTTTATTTATTGATAATTTATTTTAAAATATTAATATTTAATTAATAAATAATTATGATAAATAAAAAAATATTAGATAAGAGGTTAAAAAATTTCTTACAAACTCTTCTATTGAAGAAAGACCTCCTAAATTTTTTATATGTAAAATATGGATTCATGTTTAATATACATGAATTGCTTATTTCTTTGTAACTAGGAAAATAAGCTTTCACATTATATAAGTTTTTTTTATGTGAGACGTTTTTAATAAATAAACAAGAGCATGTTTTACATTAATTTTTTTTTCTCTCTCTTATATATAAATCAGAATAAGTATTTTGAATAAAAGTTTTATTTAAAGAAATTATTCTTTAATGAAAACATTTTATTTATTTTTCGCCAATGAAAACATTTTCTAATCTTATCTGTTTTAATTTATCATGTACATTTTTATTTCAATATTTTTTTTACAAGAAATTATCAATAGTTAAAAATAACCTTGTATATATTACCATATAAATTATTTATCATAAATCAAAATATAATTTATAAGACAAAGGTTTATTTGTTATAAATTTTCATTGTAATATACTTTATATATTAAAAAAATTTATTTATTATAATTTTTGTTATATAAAAACTAAAAATTATCCCATGAATTTCACAAATTAATCCTATATTTCGAACAAAATAAAGATAAGCTTCAAATGAAAAACCGTATCAATTCATTTTCAATGTTTTCTCATTTTTTTTTTCAGAAAAGAAAAATAATTAACAAAGTAGTGATTCTCCTAAAAATTCTTCAAACCAAAGAATTGTGAAGTACAAATTCCGTGAAGAAACTCACAAATCTCCTAGGAATAATTAATTCCAAGACATCTTACCTACAAAGTTGGAAATATATTATCTTTTTTTCACGTGGTCCATGAGAGCAATGTGATGTGGTCCATGTAACATTTTCTTAGCAAAATTTAAAAATTTTGGTGACAACATTTTTTTTCCTCAATTTCTTTTTAATAAAAAGATAGACTAAGCATAGGATTTGAATTCCATTCAAAGATATATTAAAATTGTTATATAATTAAAGCTTACTTTAATCAAATTTGACTAAATCATTTGTTAACGACAATATATAATACAAAGTATACCAATTAATTTTAACATTTTCGATAGCATTGTGTCCCAATTTGGTCAGCATAGGCATGATTTTGAAATGCATCTACGTGGGAAATTAGTATCTTTGATTATATACCAAAACATGTGTATATTTATTGATTAACAAAGCCATGTGTTTAGTATGAACACAAAAATACACACATGAGTTGCAAGATCCATTGAATTTTTTTAACCTTTAATTAATTTTTGTTGCGTAGATACATAGGAGTGGGAGGAGAAAAAGAGGTGCAAATATTTTATTTATTTGTGGAATCTCAAAGAAATCCCTTCGTTGATCCAGTGTTACTTTGGCTCGTTGGAGGTCCAGGTTGCTCTGCCCTTTCAGCATTCTTTTTTGAAAATGGTAAATCATCTTTTAGTTAAAATTATTTGAAGAAATATTTAGGGTTAATAATTATTTAGCAGGCTAATAATCTACTAGGGGAAAAAAAATGATGAGACGAAATCTAATGCTAATTCTTAAAAATTTCATCCATATATTAGCGACATAATTTGTGATGGAAAAAAAATTAGTCAAAAAGATAATATTTGTTAATTTCCTTACTAACATTTACTTACATTTATTAAAATATTAAGATAGATTAATTTAAAAGGTTATTGCAACACTTTTTTTTTTCTTTTTTCAAAAGGTGTTTCTATACATAAAGTAATATTTTTTATCTTAATAATATTCTTTGTAATTGTTTTCCAAAATTAAAGATTCATATCAAATAAAAGATTGACAATGTAAAGAGTATAAATTTTTAATCTTTAATTCTTCTCCAAAATTAAGGTTCCACATTAAATAAAAAATGATACATAATGAGTGTATATAATCATAAATTTGTAAAAAATATTAAACTAAAGTTAACCTTTTGATTTGTTACGCTTATCTTTGTTGCTATTTTATTTTCATCACAAATTTTGTTACCAAGTACATGGATCAATTAGAATAGATTTATTTCAGCTTAACTAATGATTTTGAATCCAGACTTAAAAAAATGCAACTATGATAAGAGGGGGAGTTTGCTCCATAGTTGTCTTGATTTGTGTAAAATTTTCTTCTCTAGAGAATACATGTAGTCTTAAAAAAAATAACACTATCCCTTACTTTTGCTAAGAAATAATTATTAGGTGTTTTTGAGAAAAATTCAAAAGATCTACTATCCCTAATTAACCAAAGTCTAAGGTGAAGATTATTACACATATGCAAGTTAATTACTTTTTTGATTAATTAGCTATTACACATAAGTGTGCTTGTTGGGTTCTAAGATTATCTCTTTCACATGAATTGCATAATATTCTCTTTCACATGAATTGCATGCATGGTACAAAAATCCTAATAAACTCTGAAATTATTTTAGGTTAAAATACTAATTTGGTCCATTATAATTTTTTTTTAGTTTCAATTTAGTCTCACTTTAATTTTTGGTTTCAATTTGGTCCCTAATAATTTAAATTATTGCAATGTCGGACTTCCGTCCAAATTATTTAAACGGAGTTAACTGTTGGCCACGTGAATGCCACGTAGATGCATAAGTGGATGCCAAATTTCTTTAATGCATCTGGAACCAGAACGGGTCGTTCTGGTTCCAGAATGCCAAATACAAACGGTCGATGATTATAGTTCACGCCCATGATTCTAAATCACGGTTGTGAATCGTGCAAGGAAAAAGACTTAAGGTACAAAGCATTTCAAATACTGGATTTGGTAATATTGTCAATGGGGATTGATAACTTCAATTGCTAAACATTTGGGTTGTACAGTGTATCACTAAGGACAATGGCAGTGTATCACTAAGGGCAATGGTGACAGGTTTTATTTCATTGTTAGTCAAACTAGAGTGTACAGGTAGATAATGTTGATATCATGTCAGCTATTTAGTGTATGGATCTTCAATTGCAAGAGATGGATGAACGTCAACAACACTATAATTGTATGGTGGATAAGATGTATTATTGACACCTTCAGCGTTATCCAGATGATTTCCCTTCTCAGTAATTTCTTTGAACTTTCTTAGTATATGTTATGTTATGAATTTTTGTTTTCAGTCTCTGAACCATATTTCAGTTTTTGAATTTATGCTATGTTATGAATTTTTGTTTTCAATTTTTGAATCACATTGCTACATTTTGTTGAACGTACGTATGTTGAATAAACCGTTCCAGGTGCAAAATTAACACACCAAAAGTGAAAGCAGAACGAGCCGTTCTGGTTCTAGATGCATTGAAGAAATTTGACATCCACCTATGCATCTACATGACATCCATGTGACCAACAGTTAACTCCGTTTAAATAATTTGGACGGAAGTTCGTTATTGCAGTAATTTAAATTATTAGGGGCCAAATTGAAACCAAAAATTAAAGTGAGACTAAATTGAAAAATATTATAATGGACCAAATTAGTATTTTAACTAATTATTTTATATTTGATTTAATAAAAAAATACGAAAAAAGTGTAAGTTTTGGCATAAAATGTAACATCCATCAAATTTGATGTCTCAATGACTCCACTCCTTAATACTTCACACAATTCCTCTCATTTTGGTATATTCTAGATATTATAAAAATACTGAGGAAAATGTAAAATAAGAAATTGTTTTAATTTGGATTGGATTGTTTGTGGAATAACTGTTTGCAGGGCCTTTAGTAATGAATGGCAACTACACTGGAAGCCTTCCAAAACTTGAGTTGAACCCATATTCGTGGTCAGACACGTTGAATATGATGTATATAGATATTCCAGTAGGCACAGGATTTTCATACTCAGAAACGCAAGAAGGCTATTACAGTAGTGATGTACTATGGGTGGAGCATGCTTATGAATTCCTACAAAAGGTGAGCCATTCTTCTCCACTTCTATAATTTGTAATGTTTATGATCATTGTTGCCTTATCAATATCAATGTGTAATTTTGATGGGAGGTTATTTTTATGGTATTTGTTTGAGGGTTGTTTTTTTTTTTTTTTTTATAAGGTTATTATAATAACATACTCCACAATGATGAGATATTGTCTGCTTTGGGCCTTAGCTCTCACGGTATCCCAACAATCCTCCCCTCAAACAAGGGACCTAACCTTTCATGCAGCGGAATCTGTCTTTATATAACACATTATATGTTATGAGTTTTTTATGGGGGTTATTGGTTGTTGAAGTATGTTTATATTATATAAGTTGTTATTTTTTGTGTTATTTTATCGATGTGGGACTTGTTTGTATCCCAACAAATTTACACTACTATCTAAGTAGTTATGCATTATTATGTTATTATTCTCCTAGTGTTTCTCTTGTCTTATAGTTTTCTTTATAGACAAATTTCATTCAAAAGAACATGAGGTAAGCCATCAAATAATAATGAGATAAGAAAAACTAATTAAACTACATATACTAAACAGTCCTTAGGAGAAAAAAATATAATAGATCTACAGACTCCTAGCTTTTGCTACAAACCAGTTTCAAGACCTCGTGTTATACTCCAATAAACATGCATGCTTCATTTTTGAAAATATATTATTAATTCCAATGTTACCAAGGACCCCATTATTAACATACTTTTGACTATAATAATGTTCATAGCTAGTTGTTATTGTAAATTTTTGGGATATTTCATAAGGCACATGTCCATGTCTTCTAGTTGAGCATTGTTTTTATTTATTTATATTTTTTTTATCAGCAAAGGAAAGTGCTATATTAGATTGGAATATGAGGTAAAAAAAAAACGATATACAAATCATAATTCAAGTAAGATGCAGCAGGTAGATACTTAACCAGTTGATACAATTGATTACTTTCTATTTATATACTCTCATGAGTAATAATAAGAGGTAACCAACCCATTTACACTAATACAAGTAACTAATATTGGCTTATTGTATCTAGCTTCAGAAATGTGTAATCCATCTACAAATCCAAGAGCATGGAAGCTGCTTTAATCGAATTACATTTGAAACTGGTTCAGATTCTTGCTATTAATCCCTTATAGATGCTACAGAAACACTTCTCTCTCACATTTTTAAGAGCCACCAAATCCACTTGTTGCACATGCCCATTTTTTCTCTTGTTGCTACTCCAAAACTCTCCACTCTTTCCAAAATTGTTTAAGAACCAAACTCTCAGTTGCTTTTCACGTTAATAATTCCACCTCCCTGCTCCCAAGCAATTAGAAGAAGAAATATTAGTTGCTGCAGCTGCCACCAGTTGAAATTTTGCTATCACATAATTCTACTAAGCTTGTTAATTGTCTTCTGTGCAAGAACGTGGGTTCAGAGTCCAAAGAGAAAAAGAATAGTCAAAGTTTTCCACATACGCCTTCAACCAAGACCAAGTGAAGAATAGAATATCACCTATAATCTTGTTTTGATCAAAATTCTCCCCCCGCCCCCGAAAAAATAACAACAGTTCTTGCTTTTCCATAGCCCCCAAACCACTGCACACCACACAATTCTCCATATGAATGTTGTTTTTGACCCAAAGATTTGAGTATGTTGCCAAAAGTGAGAAACTGGACGTTCAGGTAAGGCCATTTCAAGACTCAACCAAAAGTAGCAAACCTTCTAGATATCATAAACTTTATTACAAGAGAAAAAGAGATGTGCTGCAGTTTCTTCATTTGCCTTACAAAACTGACATAGAGAATTAGTTGGACTCACCAATATCTCCTCTTCCTTAAATTGTCAATAGTTGGTAGTCCATTCAGAAATAATCTCCAAATGAAGAAGGCTACCTTTGGAGGGATCCCAAGTCTACAAGTCAGATTTAGGAGTTGATCCTCATTATTCCCTAACACAGTAACAGGTCTTTGTGAAGTGCTTTGTAAGCACTGTTAACCGTAAAAATTCCAGATCCATCTTCTTACCATATCCATTTATCTTGTTCTTGTATATCAAACCCATCCAACTTTTGTTGTAAATCATTTAACATAATTCTTTCCCACTCAAAAATGTAAAGTCCCATACCCATATATCTTGTAACGACTGGTAAGTCATTACACTTAATACAGTATAATTACTATGCAGCGAAAAACATAAAGAATTTAATTATGTTAGAGTTATCATGCAACAATACCTGAATATTTATGCAACAGATATAATTATACTACGCAGCAAAAAACATAAAGAATTCAATTATGTGAGAGTTATCATGCAACAATACCTGAACATTTATACAACAGATATATGTATAAGGTACAAAAAATATAAAAAAATTCCTGCCAATTTGACTTGAAAACTAATAGTTTCTTATGGGATTACAATAAAACCTTGTACATATATATATATATATATATATATAAAAGAATTAAACAACACAACACAACAAGACCATCTCCAAAATGGCCAATCTCCAAGCGTAGCCTCCACCTAATTTGACTTGTTCTCTTATTAAGTATGATTATTACGGTCCAACAACATAAAAAAAGGTAAGTTTGTGAAAGAAAATATCATAACATCAGATAAAAGAATTAAACAACTTGCACAACTATAATAATAAGTTAGCTTTTTAACTAAAAGCTTAAAAACAACATGAATAAAAACAATCATAAACAACTGGAAAATATGAACAACATAACAACATAATTACAACTGGATGGCTTAAACAACTAATGCGTCATTACGCATATCAATTTATGGAGATCTCCTACAACTAGGGTAAATAGTATAAGTGATTTGATCCTACTAAACCACAACCTCTAACCTATTATCTCTAGGTTAAGTGTAGGCAATTGTAGGCATGATAACCTATTTAACAATTTATTTTGATTTCTCAAGTTTGGTCACTTACATTAGGAAAGTTCAATACTACTGAGAAGGATAAAATATCTTAGGTGTGAGCCTACCATGACCTTAGCATGTATAACTGAGCCTATATGGAATTAGTTTGTCGACAGCCCACCAAGTATTGCACACTTTTCTAGTACTTAATTAAGGATTTTAACCCCCAACCTTGTACCTTACTCAATGACCACTTATGGAAAATATGATTTGGCCTCCACTATACTATTTCAACTGAAAAATCTAGAGGAGATAACTTAAAAAACTTCTTAATTAGGAGACAACTTATTCACTAATAGGTTTTCAACTTTGGCCTCTTAAAGCACCACAATTGATATCTATATAATGGAATATTTAAATTTTCGAAAACAACTTTTCTTTCCTCTAGTTTTTATGTGACTCAACTTTAAACTATGTTTCAAATGTATAATATAACTTAACAACTTCAAGCAACTATTCTTGATGAACTATAATTAATTATCATTATACATCATGTAAATAAACAAGTCAAATAACATGCTTTCAACATTAAGCAACTTAATCATAATTTTCACTAAGCATAACCACGCTTGGTGTGGTCAACCAACACTTGGGGTCCACATTGATGCTACTCACTCTACGCTAGTGAGGTAGAGAGCCTTTGGCTCACTCACACCTAGTGTCAATCCTCTTATGTCTGACAAAAATGAGACAGAGAGTCTCTGTGTAATCCATACCCGATGCTACTAATCTTACACCTAGTGTCGCTAAAGCAGAGAGTCTCTGCCTTATCCACGTCCGACATTAATCAACTCGCACCCAACGTCATTAAGGAAGAGAGCCTTTGGCTTGCTTATGCCTAGGGTGTGTTTGAATACTCATTCACACATATTCCCATGCACTGAAACGGAAAAGCATAAGTGTGGGTGGATTGAGTTGAACTTAAGTTTAGTTATTGAAAACGTTTAAACAAACATACACCTAGTGTCACTAATCTTGCACTCGACATCATCAAGCCATAGAACTTATAATGCAATCACGCCTAACACTTCTTATCCCTCACATGGTCTAACCAAGTCAGATAGCCCCTAATTGACTCATGTCCTATGCTACCTATCCCACGACCGGTGTCAGTGGGGCAGAGAGCCTTTGACTTGCATCACACTCGACCACATGAAGTTGCACTCGGCATGAAGGCGATTTTTGCATCCAGTAGGATTGCAATTTGGCTCAAACCTGCAATATTTTAACTTTTAACCAACGTGCAACTTGCAATTTAACATATATTCATCTCATACAATCCAAGATTTACTAGGAAATCAACATGCAACCATCATTCATTAAGAATCAATGATATCATCACCTTCTAAATGAAAAATCTAACTTTTAATATCAATTTCAACACAATTCAACTCAAATGACGACCAAAGGTAAAACAACATTAAAATCAATCCTCAACTCAGACATAAAGAAATTACAAGCTTCCTTTACCTCAAACTGCTTAGAAACGGGAAGAGGGAATGAAGAACAGCGACAAACGAAGGTTTCTCAATAGTTCGTCGTATGACAATCTCAATATTTTTAGCTCTCAAGCTTTGAATCTTCAATCGAACACCACTACTCTACTATAGGGAAGGATTTAGATGCTTCTGTGGAGTCAGAAGGAAAAAAGGATCATCTTTGGCTCTAGGACTTATTTCTCTAACTTCTTTCTAGATTTTCTTAGAATATAAAATTATGAAGTTCAAGTTTTAAGAAAATCTTAAATACCTTTTCCAAACTTGGTCAACTTGACCTCTATTATAAACAATTCCAAAACTTTACTCTCAAAGATCCCTTGACCCGAGTCTTAAAACAACAAAAAGTGTATTTTCCTCCTTTAGTATTTTCAACTCATGGCATAATCTTCTTTTTCTCCTACCTCGCATGAGGAATAGATATAATAATGACCACATGAATCCCCTCCAAGCCAATATAACCAGACCCAACAAAAGTGTTTATCATCTCCAAATATTTTTTACCCCATAAACATAGCATACCTTCGGTTGTGTTTACAGTTGGATTCATTATCCATTCCGCCTCACTATCCCCCCATAAAGCTCTACATACGTCTTATGTTACGATCTTCTGTTAGTTTCTTGTATACATAAGACCTGTATCTCTTCCTTTGTAACCAATTGTCTTATGAATTCCCACTTTATCTTTCCCCCTAACCCCCTCACATAGTAGGACACAATCTTCATAAATTATCCACTTGATCTCCCTCTCCTTATTCCCTGTTTTATTTATCATCTCTCTCTTTTGATCTCTCTTCTCCATTGTCACCAGTTTTTTCAACACGTCAACCTCATTACCTTCGTAGGTGACACTCAACTCTTCGTCAATCTTCCATAATTATTTAGCTTCAAGCATCTCAGTTTTTAACCAATAGTTCTTGTTACAATTTCTAATACAGCTATCAGACAGGCTATTACATAAATTGTAACTCTCAGCCCTCAACTCTTTTCTCCTTTTGGAAGAAGGTTACCTTGTTGTGATGAACTTATTGTGTTAGACCCAATATAGGATGATAGAATTTTAAGTTCCACAATCCCAATGTACTTTCCTCTTGTAACCTCTCTTGCCTTCTCGTGTTTATTTCCTTCATTGTATTTTCTTTTTTGAACAAAACTTTGTTGAGCAGATGTTGTGCCGAGAGCTTCGTGGAAAGTTTCACCATCTTGTTGTTGGAGATGGCTTCTAGCTATTCACCACTATTTTGTCTAGACCCATGAATAATTTGGAGTTTGTCCACTGCCAAGAGGTTACCAATAACCCCCAAAATCTTTCTGAAGCATTCCTCAGTTCATAGATTTAATTGGATCCCATAACATCTCAACCAAGCTAAACAGTTCCCTGAAACAGTATCTAAGTTCCATTTTTGCACATAATAGAACAAAGATGAAAAACCATTCTCCTCCATTTTCATCCTTTCTTTGGCATCTTCTTCACTTACACCAAGTATTAATACCATATCCAAATATTCCTTTTAAATATGCATTTATTTTCCATTAGCAATTTTAATGACAGAATCAAGAGAAAGATTTAAAAAAAACTATATCTTCAAGTATAGTAAGATTTACTTTCCAAAACGTTTAGTAACATTTGAAAATATAATTTCTATCAGACTATTACATGCTCAATTTCACTCTAACGAGGCATATATTTAAATATTTTGTAAAATATGTTTGGATTGAAGTTGGCATCTAACACTTTCAAAAGAAGCTTTTTGCATGTGATTTTTCTTCTATTGTAATATGCCTTTCATTCATCATGAATATGCAGTGGTTTATTGATCATCCAAAGTTTAGGCCAAATCCATTTTACATTGGTGGTGGCTCATATTCAGGAATAATTACTGGTCCTCTTGTTCAAAAAGTATATGAAGGTGACATCTAAATTAAATTAAAAGTAAATTAAAATGTGAAGTTGATAGCCTGAATTTCTTATATATGTTTCCTCAAAGGGCAGGTTACATAGCAAGACAGGTGCCACTCATAAACATCAAGGTATAGAAGGACACAAACCTTGTTGGGAGTATTTTCTATTTCGCTAAATATTTTTAATAATTCATATTCTATATCAAATTTCAACGATTCAATTGTTGAATTTAAAGTTCTTAATGCATATATCAAGTTTGCAAATTTTTAAAAAATTTAAAACTTATTTGATATTTCATTTCATTAATTCAAATTAACGGATAATTATAAAATTATTTTATATATTGATTTGAATTAATGAAACGAAGTATCAAATAATTTTTAATTTTTTTTTAAAATTTATGAATTTGATCTATGCATTAAGAACTTTAAATTCAATGATCGGGTCATTGAGATTTGATATAAAATATAAGTTATTGAATAAAATAAGTCTAAATAGACTTATTCCTGAAATAAACGGATCTTAGATATATATATATAGGAGGGATCCTTTTACTCTAGGAGTAAGTCTACCTAGATTTACTTCGTTCAATAACTTATGTTCTACATCAAATTTCAACGATCCAACCGTTCAATTTCAAGTTCTTAATGCATAAATTAAATCTGCAAATATTTAGAAAATTTGAAAATCATTTGATACTTCATTTCATTAATTTGAATTAATGTATAAAATAATTTTATGATTATCGTCAATTTGAATTAATGAAATGAAGTATCAAATGATTTTCAAATTTTCTAAAAATTTACAGATTTGATCCATGCATTAAGAACTTGAAATTGAACGGTTGGATCGTTAAAATTTGATGTAAAACATGAGTTATTAAACAGAGCAAGTTTAGATAAATTTATTCTTAGAATAAAAGGATCCCTCCTCTTATATATATATATATATATATATGGTCTAATTAATTATCCTTTTGTCATTAGGGTTATTTGCTCGCAAGCCCTGCCGTTGACACGTATCAGGATACGAACATGAAGGTTTTATATGCATACCAAAGGACTCTAATACCAGAAGCACTCTATAAGGTTATTTATCTGGTTATTCCTTTTTCTTCGAATAAATCATTAATTATTTTTTTATTCATCAAAATTACATGATATTTTTTTATTCATTAAAATTATATTAATAACAATAAAGTTCAACTACTAGAGGTGTGGAGGAATTGAAATAGTTAAAAACATGAAGACTTAAATTTAATCTTCATTGTGACTATTTTTATAATTTTTCCCATCTTTATATAAAAAAAATAACAATAAAGTTGGTCCTCCAACTAATAATTAGTTTGGTATCTTAAGTATTATTTTCTCATAAATAGTCTCTAAAATATTAAATATTTATCAATCGGATTTTTCACTTGATATATTTTACAAGTGTTAAGGAACTGTTTTAAAATATTTTTCATTATTTAGATGAGTATGTAACATAATTTTAATATCGAAGAGATTACTCATATAATTTTGTTATATTAAAAGCTATTATAGAAAAAACCTCTCAATGAATTAATAATATTAAGATTGTGAAATTTTATTTAGAGAGGTATTAATTAATTGAAAAACTAATAATTTTTTTTAAAAGCCAACGAAAGTAATATATTATATAATTGCTTACCCAGGAATTGTCACAAGGCGTAATCACTCTAAGGAAAGAAGAATAAGAAAAATAAATTTTATAACTTACAAATATTCAAGAATATGTATCCAACCCCAACTCCTATAGGTAATCACACCTTTAAGATTTTTACACGATTTTACCTACTTACAACAGCTTAATAAATTTGATGATTATTCATTAATTTGAATTAATGAAACAAAGTATTAAATGATTTTCAAATTTTTTAAATTTATAGATTTAATTTATATATTAAAAAATTTAAATTCAATAATTGGATCATTAAAATTTAATATAAAATATAAATTATTAAATAAAGTAAATTTAGGTAAATTTATTCGTGAAGCAAATAGATTTCATATATATATAAAGACTTTTAACTTTCGACTTTTATCCTTGAAATGATGTGCCTTCAACGATAGACCTGTTATAGTCCACTAAAGGGAGTTATTAAAAATTTTTGTCCTTTCTTTGAGCCAACTCCATGACCCGTATTTAAAAGGGTCCATCAGTCAAGGATGATAAATAAATTCGTACATGTGGGTATTATCTGAAATCATCTCGACTTTATCGGGAAATACTCGGTTTGATCGGGTACGGCACAGGTATGTAGGTATATACATACCCGTCCTGTACCCATCCTCATACCCGTTCCCGTTCTCATTCCCAGTTTAATACTCACTCTCAATTTAATTGTATTAAAGAATTTTAATATTTTATTATGTGTAATTATTTATTATAATGTGAAATATTTATAGTTGTTTAATTATTAAGAAATTTCTTGATTAAAATATGAGATAGAGAAACAACTTTATTATAATTGTAATATAATGAAAAAATAATTTAAAAATATTGTATATTTTATTTGATAAAAAAATAGAATAATTTCTTACAGGTACGGGTATACTCAATACCCGACAGGGACGGGGATGTGGATGAAAATTATATATCCGACGGGTATGGGTACGGGGATGGATTTGAGTCGCAGAGACGAGGACGGATATCATGAAACCCGTACCCGACCCGCCCCATTGCCATCCCTAACCCTATCATCAATATTAGGTGTTTTCCCTTTAAACATAATTGCATTCCTATGTGTCTATAGAGTTAAGATTAAAGCCATCCATGCCACCATCCAAGCATCTCCCACCTTACTTTGGAACCATTTTCCACACTGTTGTCTGAGATGATCTTTACAATTAATAGATAAAGCTCTTTCCTCGCTCACTCACTAATAACACCTATTTCATGCCTCAAGAAACGATACATCCAAATAGGAGATGTAATGTTTGTCATTAGTAGATTATTTTTTTTTATTCTGTTGCTAACTACCTCCCATACAAAGGCTTTGATGATTTTGGAAGGGACATTATAATCTTCCAAATGTGCTTGAAGAAATCATCATCTTCATCCTCCACTTGTGGCAAAAAAATTCATATACTTCTTTTGCAACATAGGATCTATCAATCCCTCCATTCCCCCTCCATTTGTCTTATCTCCCTTCCACTAATAGGGTTGATTGAATTTGTTGTTGAAACTATTGGATACATTCTTCCTCCCAAGCAAACCATGGCCTTCTCCAGTTAACAAATACAAGTGTCCTTAAGGAAGTGGTTAGTACAACATATAAGGTATTAGTTTTTCATAAATCTAAAATTGGAAATGTTTTTATTTTCATAATTGGTTTATTATTTAACAAAAAATATTATCAATAAACATTATCTTTTGACTCCACGAAATTGTTCCATGAGGGAACTAGTTAGAGGTAGTTTATCTTAAATTTTGAAAAAAAAAAAGTTTAACGTGGTAAAAATATTATGTTAAATTTTATTAATCCATTTAATATATATGATAAACAATTAAAGTTTTTTTATAGAGTCTTATTAAAATTAAAGGTAAAAAATTTAAACAAAATTTTGGTCATTTCCAAGAATTATAATTGCTTCATATAAATTTTTTTTCCGTCAATTAAACACACATGAGAGATTAGAAGTTATAAGAAGGAGAACTTGATTTAGAAAAGAATATTAATATCATAGATTCTATAATATTCTAAAGAAGACACAAATAAATTTGAGAAAATGATTAATGATCTTGGTTACCAGAATCAATAAAATAGAAGTCAATCGCCAGAGTCAGAAGATGAATGTTAATGGGTCCAAAAAGCTTGAAAAAAGGTTGTGGCTAATGTTACTGAAAATTCTATCAAGAATGAAGTTGAGAATAATTTAGTACTTTCGGATCTAATATTGTGAAAGAAAACACTCATAAGGCATAACCATAGTAACAACACCAAATTTTCTTAATGCAATGGGATAAGTTAGAGATGAAAATTTGCGTTTAAATATAAATTTAAACAGAGAAAAATCAACAATAGATTCATATTTTACTAAAGAACCCTAATTATGTTTATAATTTTAATGAAATATAAGTTAATGATATTTTCGAAATTATATATAAATTAAATTGCCCAATTGGAAAAATATTATTTAAATGAGGTTATTAATTTATTAGTAATCTATAAAGGCTTAATTGTATATAATTGTGGTTTTCTGTACATGTATCTAGTTATGAACTTTGCTATGCTTTCATTTTTACGAGTCATCTAACGTTAAATACATGGATACACTTGAAAACATGTTGCAGTCGATGAAAGAAAATTGTAACGATAATTATGTTATCATTGATCCAGAAAATGCAAAGTGTGTCTCAGATTATGAAGCTTATTCTGAGGTTGGTATCAATTTTGCACTTTTAGGTGCATGCATTTATTTGGTTACTTGTATATAGTGTTCGTATTTTGCATAAGATGCATGAAAACTGAAGTATTTCGTAACCGATTGATTTGTAGCTAGTTCGTTACATAAACGAACAACAAATTATGGAACCTCTTTGTATTACTACGCCTGCCCTGACTCGAGAGATTCTACAGCAAGTTCAAGATCCTTCAACATTCTGGTGTAGAGTTGAGTAAATACCCTCTCTCTCTCTCTCTCTAAGCTTGTGTGTGTGTGGCTCAAGGAAGGATTTTGCATCATTCATTTGAATCTTCTTTAGTTAAGAGAATGCTAATCACATTTTTTTACTACTGGTTGAAATTAATTAGTGCTCAAAGTCTATTAAAGTAAACTATTTCAGTAAGGTAAAGGTGAATCATTATGTTGGTTATCTATCACTTAGTCAAGGAATAGATTCAAATGTTTTTGCTTTAAGAACTATAGATATATTTTATTATAACTAGGATCAGCTACAAGAAATGTTACGTAAAGTGATATACAGAAAGTATCATTATATATATAATATATATAAGTTTAAATATATTTGACATATAGTTATACATAATTTTAGTGTTGATTTTGAATGAAATTTAACAATATATATTATATGTCATTATAAGTTATACTTTCACTTTTTAATAATATATATCAATATGTATAGTATTTATAATGTAGGAAAAAGTAATTTTTAGAGACAAGTATTATGTGATTATAAGATATGTATTATTATATGACATTTTTTTTTGTAGTGAGTATAATCATGTTAACATTTTTTGGAAATTATCCCTAAAGAATTCAAGATTCAAATACACTTAAAAAAACAAATATATAACATTTTCCTAGAGTTAAAAGGTGGTAGGTTCCACCTTGTGAGTGTTATGGACATGGATAATCACTAGACTTTTTCAAGTGGTTTTTAAACCAAAACAATTAGAAATTAGAAATTAAAAATATGTGATTCACACTTCTTATATAACTCATAATTTCAAAGTTTTAATAAATTTTAACTAATATTAAAAGTGTATTAAAAGAATTTTATTAAATTGCAAAAAAAAAATATACTCATTCTTAAATTTAGAGTAGGCCACCAAAGCTAACTTAGTTATCATCTGTATTTTTAGAGCTATTACCATATACTTGTTGACGCATGGGCAAATGATGAAAATGTGAGGAAGGCCCTTCATGTAAGAGAGGTAATGCTGCATTGGATCATTTAATTTAACTATGTTTTATGGATTATTTAATGAAATTAATTGAAGTTGTTCATTTAGCTTATAGCAACTAATTCAACTATAATATACCATTTGAATTAATAGGGAACTAAAGAGGAATTCTTGAGATGCAACAAGACTTTGGCATACACCACAACTCGACTAAGCACAGTAGAATTCTATCGGAATCTCACTAATGCCAACCTCCAAGCTCTTGTTTACTGGTAATAATAATTAACTTCCCACACCAAAATTCTTTTGAGTGCAAACTAAAATTCTTTCTTATATTGTTTCATTTAACATGCCAAATGACATATTTATTGAGGAAAATGTGTGTTCACTATTGGACATATCTTATCTTGAATGATAAGATTAAGAGCTTGTTTGAATATAGATTTATTAGTTTCTTTTTTAAGTTTTTCTATCGAAAAATATTCCTTATTTTCTGTAGAGAGATTGATTATCAAACACGTTTTTAATTTACATTCAAATAGGCTTTTAAGGCATAGAATTTTTTAAAAAGTCTTGCAACTTTTTAACATGACTTTAGAAAACATCAAGTTTTAATCATCTATATATGATTAAAAGATCCATATTCCTTTAATTCTCGAGTAAAATAGCTTTTCATGTCGGTTGCTCCAACAAATTGAATTTCATTCATTAAATCATTATGGAATTTAAAATGTGGAAACATAATTTTATTTGATCAAACTAATATTATGGCGTATGATTAATTGCAGTTCTGATCTTGATATGAGTATGCCACACCTGGGAACACAACATTGGATCAATTCATTCAATATGAGCATACATGACAAATGGCATGCATGGTTTGTTGAAGGTCAAGTGGCCGGGTAATTAACTTATAATTTTTTAATAGTGATACTAATTTTTATGAGTTAATCATTTATACATTGTCAGTGTAAAATTTTTTTACACTGACAATCAGTTATATCCTTTAATTGTGTCATGTCACTAATAAAAATAAATCTGTTTATAGTGACATTGCACAATTAAATGATATAATTGATTGACTTTACACTGACAGTGTATAAATGATTAACTCATTTTTTAATTTTGTAACTCAAAATTTCTTTATAATTTATTGGTATAATATCGATCATTACTAATAATTGTGCTTATTATTACACATTTATGTTGGTCTAATTAATGGTCGATCTCTTCTAATAATAATATTATTGCAGGTTTGCGTTTATTAATTCATAATTTCTCTAATAATTAATCTTGTTCAATCTCTCAATTATTATGCTCATTTTCCACAGTTCTTGATTCTATATCTTTATTTTTGTTTAAAAGAGATACCATGTCTCATCATAGTAATTAATTACTAGATTCTTAAATATTTTACACAGATATACCGAAATCTACAAAATGAAAGAAGACCATTACTTAACATATGTGATCGTCAAGGCAAGTACAGCCCTTAATATATTTTTTTTGGTAAACAATCCTTAATTTGATTATGCTAATTTTAGGTTATTTATATCAGTTTAATTATCTATTGTTTTCGTAACATTTAATTAGCAATTTCTTTGTGAATACTTGTGATTATATCTTCTGTCATTCTAATTATGTAATGCAGGGTGCTGGACATGTGGCCCAAACATTTAAACCCAAGGAAGTTTATCATTTGATCAATAGATGGTTTTCATTTTCTCTTATCTAAGGTTATGCTCCAACTTGATGGAACATTTCTATTTATCTATAAACAAAATATCAATTTTTTTCCCATAACTATCAATTAGTCATTTATCTATTTATATTTTATGAAAATTGACACGCAGTTGTAATAGTGACATCTCAGTAATGTTTAATGTAACTAAAGCACATCAACATGCAATTTGTCGAAGAAAAATATATCAATTTTAGTTTAATTTTTCACTTTATGAGAATTAGATAACATCTGCATAATTTTAGATTCTCATTATTGTCACATTCGTACAGCAACTTAAAAAAAAAAAAGTTCCATCATCACACTTATTCTTTCTTCTTTTATGTATTTGTAAACATAGTTAATTGCATTAGATAATGATGTATATATCTCTCCTTTTTCTCATAATTAAATTCAACACATTACTCCTTAAAAATATTATAGATAAAGTTCATTATGATCGATTTAGTGATGAAATTAAATAATATATACAAGTCTTAGGTTCTATTCTAATTATTGTCATTGTACATATAAAAAAAACTTAGATATAAGCAATTAATAGAAGTATAAATATTCTTTTTTTTATCTTTCTCTTTGAAAGTGTTCAACTTTCGATCTTTGAAGTTTGTTAAAGATCCATTAACATCAAGCGAGGTAAATTGGTGTAGGGCTTGGAAGGTCTACGCTTAGAGCATAGTTTTAAAATTTGGTTCATATCGGATGAATTGAGAATCAGTAATCTAGTTAATCCAAACTTCATTTTCTAGAATACACAAATAAAAAAATCCTAAGACATTTTCTCCAATAGTGCATTACTACCATTGTCCAACAGTCATAGTTGGCTAAGTTATTAGGTTACGTGCTTGATATTGTTCAAAAATAAGGTCCTGAAAATAAGGTTGTTAATGTGTTATCTAGAACTTCTAGAAGAAGGTCATTTTGAATAAACTTATCTCCTTTCTAGTATGAATAGATGGATTGGAACTTACTCATGAGGTGGGTAGTCTTCCCCCATTTTCAAAAAGTGATCATTATTGATTTGTAGTAAAATCCCTCATCTCATCTAAGTTTTGTGTACAAGTGTGGCATACCATTTTATCAAGATTGGTAGGTGGTAGATTATTCTCCCAAAATTCAACAATTGAAACACATCCAAGAATTTGTTGAGTCTTATGATACTTGCTATTAGAGCATAGAATTTTACCTTATATTATTTTCTGCATTTTTCTATTGTATACGTTACTACTGCTAATGCTGAAGATAGTAGGTTAGTTGTTTGTTTAGAGTTTGTTATTTAGGTTGTTATTTAACTGATAGGCATCATTTATTGTCAATTAGGATTGTTATTTGATTGACAGGTGTCATGTCTATATAATAGCTTCACTTGTACTCTTTAGCAATTATATAAATAGTTGCATCTCATTTTTACATTCATCAAAATAATCAGTATACTTTTAGTTTCTATAATGGTATCTAGAGTAAGCTTCAATTCAAGAACCTTTTTTTCCTCCTTTTCCCACTCCTCCATACTTTTCTAAGAAGAATTCTTCATCGACCATAACTCACATTTTTAGCTAAAATGTCACGTATGGTCACATGAATGAATTGTTGCATTAGTACGTAACAGTCATGAGACTTCAAGCCAACCAATTTTAAATATTTCATTGAAACTAGACTTTCTATATTAAAAGAGCAATCATGCAATACTTTGGCACCATGTAAGCTCTCACAAAAACTTATTTTGTCCTTGTTGGGCAATGTGTGACATGATAAGGGCCAATATGTCCACTTTCCTTTAGATTGTGGGTATAACTATTGTCATGTGGGCACGAGTTGCAAATTTAGATTGGAACTAAGACCATCCATTGTATTGCCCTAAATAATGAGAAACGTTCCTTATTATACTTTCACATATATTCTTCTCAATATGTATGACATCAATACAATGTCTCACATTAATAATTTTCCAATAAGACAGATAAAAAAATATCGACATTTTTCTTTCATATATTTCTCTCTTTTCGATGTTTATCAATCTTTCAAGTACCACGTGTAAGTTCTTCGCCCACTCATAAACTAACTCATAAGTTAATGCAATAAGAGAAATATCATTTTCTTAATGTCCATTAAAAGCTTTTTTTTAACCTATGATACAATTAGGTTTAAGAAATATCTAGTGTCAAAGATAAATTGTCTTCCTCCCATTGTACAATTAATGGTAAGAAGTGTCCTCTTCACAATAGGGCAAGTTTTATTTCCCTTAACGTTGTACCCACACAAGTTTTCATATGTTGGAAAGTCATTAATTGTGCAAAACAACATGGCATGCAACTTGAAAGACTCACCTAAGTACCTATCAAAAATGACAATGTTTCTCCCACAACATCTTTAATTCTTCAAACAATAGAGTTAGATAAACATCAATGTTGTTTCTTGAATGCCTTCCAGTAGAAATCATCATGGATAGCATAATGTATTTGTGTTTCATGCATAACCAAGGAGGTAATTTGTAAATAACCAACAAAATAGGTCATGAAATATGCTTAGTACTTAAGTTTGTAGCTAGTCCAAGCCTAACATTTATGGGCTCGTTGTCGAAAATATGGAATCAAACTTTTTTTACATTACAAGCAATTTGTCGAATGCCTAAGTTGTCCATCACACTTCCTCTCATCCACATGTCATCTCACTAGCTTTGCATCATTTGCATTAGCAAACAAACGCTTCAATCTTGGAACAATTGGTGGATGCCATAAAACCTTCACCCGAGGACCTTTAATGATTACATCACAATCATAATCACCATCCTTCCTTTTATATCATAATACTCCACACCTTGGACATTGATGCAACCCTTCAAACACACCATAATACAACATACCATCATTTGGGTACACATGTATTTTCTTATACTCCAAACCCATGGGACACAATATCTTTTTCACCTTGCAGTTACAACTAGGCAATATGCTACCTTATGGAAACATTTATTTGAGCAAATCTAACAATTCTTTGAATATTTCCTCACTTCACTCATTTCTCGCCTCTAGATTGAACAATCTCAATACCATTGACTGTAATGTCTTAAATTTTTAGATAACAATATTCTCAATATTATTAAGTGTACTGTTCTTAAAATAGTAATTGAAATTTTTAGTTATTATAATATATATAAATATATATATATATAATAGAGAATAAGTATAATATTTTCACAATATATATATATATATATATATATCAAATTTTTATTACAACATTTTTAGTGAAA